TTCCTTTTTGATTAATCTTTGTAATTTTTGGAACTTAACTTTTGCTTTTGTTTTTAATTGCTTAAAAATGTTCTGTTCAGTTGATAACTACAGGTAAAGCAGGTAAAGGTCTATTATCTAAGTAGAATGAATTCTTTAGATTTTCATTTTGTGTTTCATTATCAGTTAATTGCTTGCTTAGTTTTTCTATTTTTTTTGCTCTTTTGACTTGATTCTTCCTCCAACTTTTTAACTCAGGCTTCTAGATGAGAAATCTTTTTACTATCACTCTTGAGTTTCTTGTTTTTTCTTTTATGTCTTCTGCTTGAGCTTTACTTCATTTTTCACCAGTTGCTATGACTTCCTCAATTTGTTCCTGTTCTATTTTTTTACCTTGGACTCTGTCAAAAAATAAATTGTTTTTTGTTTTCCAAAAAAAAAAAATCAATCAATTTGCATCTGTCCTGCCCAAAAAAAAAAAACCAATAGGATAAATAATTAATTGTACACATCAATCAAATCACAAACTTCTTTTTTCTTTTTAAAAATTTAAAAAATGATGAAAAAACGCAATTAAAAAAAAGAGATTGAGAAAAGAGACTAAAAATACATATGGGTTTTAAGAATAAGGATGGTGGTGGTTATTGCCTGCCACTTGTCATTACTCTAGTTATGTAGATAAACTAACATTTTTTTCTTAAAAAAAAAAACACCAAATGAACAAAAAGAAAAAGAGGTGATCACTCAATCACCAAGAGGACTATTTCTGATGTTGCACTTGCAGTATGTGAGAACTGATATTCTATTTCATCACACATTTGAATTTGTGTATTTAGTACAATCATTCTTTGTGCTTAGGATATCCAGCCTGATAAAAACAATGTAAAAATACAAGCAGATGAAGGTAAAATGATAATAACCAAATATTTTGTTTTCAAAACCATGATACTATGTATATTCAGTGACTTTTTTAAAATCTCAATTTAGATGGACCCATTCCGAAAAAATCTCACATAATTCACTATACACTAGATTACAAGGCGTCTACACTTGCCATTAATTCTACCATATTTCAATACTTCCCTGTCAATGTGCTGAGCAATTTTGGCATGCTTCATGCTGATCCCAAATATGCATATTTTGACAGAACTCAATACATATCAACACTCAGCTATTTCAAAGATCCAGTTATAATTTTTCCTGCAACCATGCCGGTTTGGAAAATCACTGACTCTCAGTATGCTGGCCCATTTCCATGGGATTGAACACAAAAAACACTACGATGAGCTTTTTAAAGACCTTGTGATCAATGAAGATGTCAAAGCTGGAAAAATCTGCTCAAGTCAATACCTTGTGTTGACTTTCAATTTTGCTGATCTTAATCACTCTCATGACTTCCAAGTCACAGTGATCACGCTTAATGATATGATTAACAATGCAATCAAGTGATTTTATTCAACATATGCATTGCATTTGGATGACAAATCAAGTGAGCAACTAACACAAGATTTTATCAAACCTGACAATGCTATTTCTAGACTTGAAAACTGTGTTTGGATCATTCAGGAAACACCAACAATGTGAAGGGAATCTATCTTCTGGTTGATGAATATGATGCTTTCAGCAATGAATACTTGGATCTGAATGATGGTAGTACCTGGAATGAATCCCAATCATTGTTAAAAGGTTTCTGGGCACAGGCGAAAGCATGCATGACAACAAATGAGATCAGTAGGTGTTTCATCACTGGTGTTTCTCCACTTTTGATGGCTGATTTTACAGTGGTTTCAATATCATCACCAATGTCACATACAAGAAAAGTCTCTCTGGATTGTGCGGCTTTACTAATGAAGATGTGCTCAAGGCCCTGTGGGTACCAATGATGTGTGGATCAGAGGAAACCAAGGTCAAAGACATTTCAAAATCATGAAAAAGCAGTTTGGCAACTACCGTTTCTTTCAATATGGTGATGTTCTGTCTGTTTTCAATACCAACACATGTCTCAAGTATCTTCAATGTATACATGAACGAGAAATTCCACCAGATCATCCTTCCAATTCAGAAGTATCTGAATGACTGCTTTGTGTGTTTGCCTCCTCTTGTGTTGCCACAAGTATTTTTGAGCAGATCTCTGCTGATTCTTGGTGTGCTCAGATTCCATATGAACAATTTTGAGACATGTTTAGTCTTTCAAACTTGATAAAGATATCACCAGAAGTAGATCAGCATGGTTGAGCTTTGTGCTTCATGTTGGAAGTCTCACTTTTGTAAAAAAAAACACCTGAAAAGCTGCTGCAGATCCCTAATCTCATAGTTGCTCAACATTTTGTTGAAGCTGTTCTTGACCATTACAAGCTCAATGTTGATGATGTTGTGAAAGCTCTGCAGCAGGTTGTATCAACTGGTGATATCTTAGTTCTCTTGGGTTACTACAGACATTTGGTGAGTGAGCATGATGTTGGTGATGATGACCTTACAAGCAAGTCTGAGGAAAACCATTGAGATAGTTTCTACTATATACTTCTCAAGAATCCGTGCTGCTGCAAACAAAAATTGAGTTCAAGGTCGCCAAAACCTTCTAAATCTCCAGGATGCCAGCAACAACAATTATGATCATATTAGAGTGGAAATTCATTAGAATTAATTTCATCAACATTAAACTGGTGGTGAAGTCATTGTTATCACCATACAGATCAGTCAATGTTTGAAAGGCAGAAGCTCTGAACATCATCTCAGATCTGAACACTATACTTAACCTTAAATTTGCCAGTTATGATAAGTTTGGATGCAGTGGGAAAACAATCAGAGAATGGATCTTGCAATGTGATGGGCCTGCTTATCAACTCAACCAATGCTGGACAAGCCAGGAATCATTCAACTCCGCAAAACACACAAGGTTATCAGCTATCTGGTAGTTATCATCAGCTCATGCAAGATCTTGGTATGGTGATTGGGTGATAAGGGTCAGTTGGAAAAGGAACCTATATTAGCGGGTTAATGAGTTTTAATGAGAAGTGGATTTGTATTATTATTATTTCAAAAAAAAAAAAAACAAAAAAAAATTCAATAATTAAAGCAAGCAGAGAGTGTGAGATAAAAAAAATAAAAAGTGAATTGTAGGTTATTTTGGCTTGATTACTGCGATTATCTTGTATTATGATATTGAATGATTAAAAGGTTGACAAAGATAGAATCTTAAGCCTGATGCCTGAATGATGTCAAATGTTCACTTTGTCTGGTTTTGTTGCAACATGCCCCAAATGATTCTTTCGACTACTAGAAATCTAATTGTAACAATCCTCGAAATAATATGTCACACAAATGGCAATTAATTTTATTACCATATTTGGTAATCAGAGGAATTATTTTTTTTTTTATCGTTAATTAAAGTTAATTGGCAATCGGGATTTTTGTTAAAGAATTATACATATATTATTGTTATCGTTATTATTTTTATTAAGAAATGTGGATATTATATTGTTATGTTATATTGTGGGGAATATAATCATATTATTATTTTATTTATATTATTTATAATCAAAGAAGTTATCTTTAAATTATGATCATACTTTCCGGGAAGTCTATAAGCTTCCATACAATATATATTATATATTTATTTATTTTCTTATGATTTATATTTATATTTTAAAGAATTGTATTTTTATTATTTAAAGAAGTAAAATTCAAACAAATAAAGATAACTTTTGAACAATAAATATCTGAATGTTTTTAAATAATTGTGATGATTATTTGAACATTTACACTAATGTAAATAAAAAGTATTGTTGGTGATAATTAATTGATAGTTAGTAATTTCAATTAATTAATAATGAAATTTTTATTTAAGAAAAGAGCTAAAGTCAAGATTATTTAATGAATTATCACTACTTGTATAACTTTCAAAACCTTTTGATTTAGCAATCTCTTCATCTAATATTCTGCTTGTATGGTGTGCATCTGGATGTGATTTGTGTACTTGTTGTGAAACAATACCATTGACACCATTATCATAAACTTCTTTTAGTTTATCATCAGCGAAAAGAAAAAGCTCTAGAATGGTTGGTCTTTTTGATGGATGTGTATCCCAACACCTCTGCATCATTTGCACATAATCATCAGGCATTCCAGGTAATATTGGTGGTCGTAAACCTTCTTCACATATATCAAAAATTAAACAATGATTGTGAGCTCTATCATCAAATGGTGGATGACCTGCAAATATTTCCCACATTAACATTCCAGCACTATAGATATCTGATTTTTTTGTGTTCTTTTTGCCTCTAAGTAACTCAGGTGTAACATATGATATAATTCCATAGACTTTATCTGATGATTTTTCATCAACTGGTCCACATAATCCCAAATCTGTAATATAACAATTGCCTCCATTCATTAATATATTACCACTATGTAAATCACAATGGATTAAATCTTTTTCATGTATACAATATAATCCATTGCATAAATATCTAAATATTGTAAATCTGTCTTTTAATGTTAAATTTAAATGATGGTTTTTCAAATGATCTCTTAAACTTCCATCTATATAATAACTTAAAACTATTGCATAATTTCCATTATGTGGGAATTTAGTTATACCATAGCAAGGATTAATCATTGGTGATTTAATTTTACAATAATTCATTGCCTGAAATTGAATATAAAATCAATTAGTATTATATAATACAGTGTATACAGTATTGTTTTAAATGAAAAATACTAACCTCATCAATAAAGCCTTTTCCTGGATTACTTGAATCATTTAAATTTTTTAACACCACAAGTTGCATTCCAAAATAACCAAATTCCTTTTTGTTTTCATTATAATCATTAATACTTCCTCTTGTCCATATAGCAGCAAAAATTGAACTAAATCCACCTTCTGTCAACTTTGCTACTTCTTCAAATTGCTCAAAAGGTATCCATTCTAAAATATAGCCTGGCAAAGATGAGAGAATTTGACATTGTTGAATAAAATCATCAATTATGTTGTTTCCAGATGTCCAGGTAGTGAAAAGGCTCTGTAATTGTAAACTAATGCAACCTTCACAGAATTTATCAGAGTATCTTATCAATTTACACTTGGTGCATTCTTTTGGTTTTCCTTTTTTATTCCTTGCATTATTTAATTCAATATCATAAATAAACTTTTCTATACAATACTCTTTTTTATTTTCAAAAAGCTCCTTGTTTTTTTGGACTAATGAAAAATAATAATCTTTTTTGCTTTCTTCATCAAAATTAACTATTGCATTAAACATTTCATTATGAATTTTATATACAAAATCCACTCTTTCTGGTGATCTCGATGATAATAAATCAATATATGACATTATATGAAAATAAATGTATTTATGAAATTTAAAATTTGGCTTTGGTTATTGTGTTTTAATAAATAAAGCGGAGAAAACGTTTTTTTTTTGTTTGGAAAATAATATTGGCCCATTTATTTATTCATTCGTTTATTTATCGTTACTATTTGATCGAATGACGTGAAACTAGGGTTTATAAAATTAATGATTCGAATAAATTTTTTAATCTGAATAAAATGAACGATAATAAGAATTATTTATCCCGTATCATTTATGTAATTATCCATTTTACTTATACTTACTCAAAAATAAACTTATATAATATAAAAAAAAATTGATATTTTCCAAAAACAATTCTAATTCCAAAATTTCTTTCATAAAATGGTAAAAAACCTAATTCGTTTTATTTTACTTGATTATTTGCTTTAAAATGTACTTATCAATGCTTTTAATTATAATAAAAGAATCCTCATTTTATAACTGCTTCAATGTTAATGAATCCCGAAAATTGCAACTCAATAATTAAAAGAATCCTTGACACGTACTATGTTTGTAAATCATATGATGTGGGACACATGTTAATTTTATGTAATTTATATATTAATTATCATTTATCCTCTGGGTGGTGCAAGTTATGTACTAGTCTGGCATAAATAACGTAAAAGTGCCACATCTATTTATTCACAATTATCTGGTATCCTTAAAGATTCTCCGAAGCTTTTTAGGTGGAAGAAAGTAAATCTGTAGACTTACCAATTGAATTATTGTGATCAATTGACAATAGTAGCTCAAAGTTAAGTTATGTTAAATAAATTGAAAGGCCATCCCGTCTTGCAATGTTACCATTTGACAAGAATTGAAAAAATGTAAAAAGTTTATTGCTTCAAAATATTATTATAGTTTAGCTTTAAGAAATGAAATACGAATAAAAAAATAACAAATAAATTAGCCATTCATTGATTCTTTCTTTTAATTACTAGAATCTAATGTAAATAAAAGGTATTGTTGGTAATAATTAATGGATAGATAGCAATTTCCAATTAATTAATAATGAAATTTTTATTCGCCCTTTGGCATTTAAGAAAAGAGAGTTAAAATCAAGAATTATCATTACTTGTATAACTTTTAAATCTTCTGGATTTAGCAATCTCTTCATCTAATATTCTACTTTTATGGTATGCGCCTGGATGTGATTTGTGTACCTGTTGCAAATCACTACTACCACTAGTAGTATTATTGCTACTATTAATATCATCAATATTATCACAAATTTCTTTCAATTTACTCTCAGCAAAAATAAAAAGCTCTAGAATAGTTGGTCTTTTTGATGGGTCCACATCCCAACACCTCTGCATCATTTGCACATAATCATCAGGCATTCCAGGTAATATTGGTGGTCGTAAACCTTCTTCACATATATCAAAAATTAAATGATGATCATGAGCTCTATCATCAAATGGTGGATGACCTGCAAATATTTCCCACATTAACATCCCAATGCTATATATATCTGATTCTTTTGTGTTCTTTTCACCTCTAAGTAACTCAGGTGCAACATATGATACAATTTCATAGACTTTATCTGATGATTTTTCATCATCAACTGGTCCACATAATCCTAAATCTATAATATAACAATCTCCTCCTTGTACAAGTATATTACCACTATGTAAATCACAATGGATTAAATCTTTCATATGTATATTATATAGTGCATTACATAAATACCTAAAGATTAAAATTCTGTCTTTTAATGTTAAATTTAAATGATTTTTTTGTAAATAGCTCCCTAAACTTCTATCTGGATAATAACTTGAAATCATTGCATAATTTCCATTGTCTGGGAATTTAGTTATACCATAGCATTGAAGAATCATCCCTGACTTAATTTTACAATAATTCATTGCCTGAAATTGAATATAAAATCAATTAGTATTATAATATAATACAGTATATACAATATTATTTTAAATTACAACTACCAACCTCATCAAAAAAGCCTTTTCCTGGATTACTTGAATCATTTAAACTTTTTAACATCACAATTTGCATTCCAAAATAACTAAATTCCTTTTTATTTTCATCATAATCAATTGTTCTTCCTCTTTCCCATTCAGCAGTATAAACTGAACTAAACCCAACTTCAGTTAACTTTGTTACATTTTTAAATTGCTCAAAAGGTATCCATTC